AACGTGAGATTTCGTCCTATGCTAGGTACTGCTAATTGATTAAATTTGATGAGTTTTCCTATAATCGTGTTGATCTAGCTTTTTGGTCTACAATTTGGACTATTCTTTCAAAATGGCAAGAGTCTTCTTTATGAGGTCAAGCGTAAGAAATGCCAGCGAATGGGACTCTCTGTTTTGTTATTTTGTTGCAAAAGAATTGCAAGGTTTTTGCTTTACATCAGAAATTATAATGCTCCGTTATCCGAATTATTCATTATATAACAAAAATAAATAAGCTGTGCTTGCGACACAACCCAACGTAAAAAAACTACGGAAACCTTCATCACGTGAGTTGCAAACAGAGTGACGACAATAGTCTTTCCTGAATTTGTTTACTCATGGCAGGTCTCAAAGGAATTTTCCAGCTTTATCTTTTGTGCGTTATATGCGTACGTATGCTCGTGGATAAGACTGAGGAAATTTGAAGGAAACATCTCTTCAGAGTATTAACACCTAAAATAGGTAAACAAAATGATCTACAAGCAAGAGAGCTCTATTAAGCCATGAGTTTCAAGTGACCTAAATGGGTCATTTTTCAAAAGGAATATGTCCCATTATAAGGGTCTATATAAACCTCCTACTCAAGAAACGTACTCGATCAACCCAGAGATCAAAGATCTGTTTCGCATTCATTAACTTCTCCTTTTTTTTTCTGGTGGACAAGCGGGCGAAAACTTTACGTTGCGCGTGCCTCGTTGTTATACTATAACTGTTCGTGCCAAATGGAGGCAATATTTACATAATCTGGGCAAGGAGTTTAAAGCCCAATTGCGGGCCTTAGTCCTAGGTTAAGGACTATTTCGGATTCTACCTCCAAAATCTGGATCCTGTAAAAGTTGCCTGATTACCAAAACTGGGGGTAGAGTCTTAAAAAAATATAGCAGTTTGCATAATCAATCCTCCTCCATTAAAAAACCGCAAAACCTATGTAATGCGGTGGAAAAGTTGATCATTCAGTTTTGTTATCTAAGTGCCTTGGAGGACCAGAGGGCAAAACTTATTTTTAAAAGTTTATATTATCTTTGCTTCTCTTTTAATCTACCAATTCTTCAAACATGTCAACTCACTCTCTCACTCCGCCCCGTCTCGCCGCAAATGCCAAGATGCCAAATAGCACCTTCTTTGAGAAATGATGAAAAATTAAAAAAGTCAAAGGATCTGCATGGAAAGGTCGACTAACTTCGCATCTGCCGGGTTAAAAAATTGTTTCAAAACTTTCTTTGATACTTCGATTCAGTTGTCTCATGATGTCTCATTAACTGCGAGAACGAGAACTGAGGTCTGTAAATGGACAGTCAGGGAAAATATCAAACACTGACGTCTTTCCATGACCATATGGCAATTGGTGGTGATGGTTCGGAAAAAGTGCAAACAAGCTGTTGGGACTGGCATCGCAGTTTGCAAACTGTACTATGATGTCATTAGATCTGAAACCCTGTATTTGACGATCAAGTTAGTACCATATTTGAAGCAATATATCATCATAATTTTTTTTTAGAGGGCACGGTAACGAATCCTGCAAACTGATTGGTTTTTACCCGGTCAGTATTTTCCTATCTCTACCCACGGTAACGCTTTCGTGAGTCGCCGAGTACATCTCAACTTTCGTTGCCATTTTTCATAAATATACCTCGTTTTGCCGGCTGGGCAGTATTTTTAAGCAAACACATCGGTCACTACTCAAGCCGACTTATGAATCCTCTCTTTTCTCTCTCTCAAATCACTTTGGTTGGCAGAAAAATATTGGTTTCAGAATGAATTTGCATAAGCAATAGTGTCATTACGTTGGTTGACAAGCGGCCTAAAAACCGTCTACAATTGATTTTAATCATTCACAAAAAGTGCCTAGAAAGTTAAAACGTGAGGTATTTGGTTACAGGTAAACTGATCAATGGATCTTTCATTTATTTAATATCTGAATTTTCTCAAACAATTTGTTCGTAGTGAAAGAGCGAGCGAAGTTTTAATTTCAGTTCGACAATAAATATACGCTCTCGGTGAGTCTTTCCAGGTCCGTTCAATATGGACATTTAGACCATAAATTGCACAACAAAAACGGAAGGAATTTATTGAGAAAAGGACGCAGTAAATCCTCTTGTGTCTCGTTGGAGTGTGCCGTTCGAATTTAGTTTTTTTGGAGGAAAGACCAGATTTACACACGCCGTTGTAGCAAACAAACGAGCAAACTCACAACTTCAAAATAAAAAATTTGAATTTACTCACAATTACTTTCCTAGCCGTTTACTTAATGAACAAAGGTAAAGCTTCGTATGTGAATGAATCGTCGATGAGAGCGAATAATACTTTCCGTGAGATCATTGACTATTTTTTAAGAAAACATTGTCGTGACAG